TGGCCACAACCACCCAGCCCTCTTAAATATAGAAAAACGTAAAGTCTCACACATATATCTTGTTCATACTTTGAAAGCAACAAAAATGATAAAAAAGAACCAAAAAAACAAACAAACAAAAAGAGAGAAAACAACAACAAACAAACATGTGCGCTACGCGGGGTAAGATCTATTTGCATCACAACAGCTCGTACTATAAATTATTAGGCCTTGTAGGGCGACATTGCTTGTACAAATATACAATAATTTTATTTATAAAACATCACTAACAATAGGAACAAGATGGTTGTTTTAATAGAAATAGAAGGAATATTATTCTTATTTTTTCACTCGATGAAACGAATAGTAAGATGTCCAACTGAATAGATTTTTGCAATAAGCGCCACCTTTCGGGAAAAAAATTCCACGAGGGTGACATGAAATGGTGAAATGATCAGTTTTTGGTGAAATGTCAGATAAATATGATTAAATGACTAATAAAAAAAAACTGCAACGAATGTGGATTTCAATTTATAGGATTACTAATACCTTATAAACATAGACGTTATGAATTCAATCCTAACCGCCAAGTATATGTTGGTAAACTTTTCCCGAGCACCATGAGCTTTGGTGCCGAGCGAAGCGAGGGACCAAATCGAATGGCGAGGGAAAAGTTTAACAACATACTTAGTACATGTTTCACAGGAGAAATTAAACCTTTTGTGTCTCTATCTATTTCATTACAATTCTTTGTGTGTTTCTTGTTATTTAATCAAGAAAACGATGATTTGATCCTGACTGTTGCCATATTGTACAGGCCCAGATGTGATAATTATACCACTCAGGGTAATATATACCTGTCTGCAACAGGTCAGATGACAGTCTACAGTGAGTAGTTATCAAACATAATAAGGTTCGTTTCTATAGATTCAAAATCTCAGTATGAAGATATTCATGTCATTTTTATTGGATTTAAGTCAGGTGGCTTGTGGACATTAGTAAAGATATGTTTTTAGAGGTAAAATGGATAAATTGCTCTTGAAAAGCACAGATTTCCACAGGAAACGAAAACAGAAAAAGGGAAAAAAATCTGTATATGGTTGGATTATCTCAGCTTACAACAATTACAGGGAAAGTTTACACACTACTTGAGCAATATAGGAATATCCCTGTATTGAACTTCGCAAAAAATCAAATTTTGACTTCTTGCTATGTCCTCTTATTCTGTTAATTAGAATCGAAGGCAAGATGGTGTGTAACCTTTTTTGCACTTTTTGATGAGATATAATTCTAGTTGTAAGTTATTGTGGTGTAATTGCTAAATCCTAAATATTCAAATAATTACTAAACTTTTCTTAAATTTCTGTTTTAATTTTATTTTTTTTAATTTAAATAATTTTTAATGTTTTAATTTTGGCTAAAGTTGATTAATTCAGAAAGAAAGACAAGAGAAGAGAAAAAAGATCTTTTTTCCTTTATTAATTCTATAGATTTTATGGACTGTTTTGCACATCAGGTCCAACATTCATTGTTTAGTGACCTTGCCCTGTGTCCATGATTGTAACCTATCATTGATAATGATAGGTTTAATAATTATGCACACAATGGCATAGTCATCCAGCCATAAAGCTTGGCTAGGAGTGTACCAAGTGATTTGGTGGCAGCAAAACCCCTTTGTTAGAGGTGTGAAACATGTACTAAGGTTATATAGAGCCAAATTTATCGAAAATATCTGAGGAAATCGGCCGCCATTGACGGGTTTCATAATATACGGTATACCACGCCCGATTGTTTTGTTGTTGTTTTTTTGTTGTTGTTGTTGTTTTTGTTGTTTTTTCTCTTTTTTTTTTTTTTTTTTTTTTTTTTTTTTTTGGTTTTTTTTATTGTTTTGTTTTGTTTTTTTTTGGTTGCTTGTTTGTTTGTTTTTTGTTTTGTTTTGTTTTGTTTTGTTTTGTTTTTTTTTTTTTTTTGGTTTTTTTTTTTTTTTTTTTTTTTTTTTTGGGTTTTTTGTTTTCTTTTTTATTTATATGAACATTTCATGTACATATGTATCTATGGTTTACATATTATGCCATTTTGATTGAGAAAACTAGTCTAAGACAAAGTATTGATATTTTAAAAAGTGCACATAATGAAAGAAACTAAAAAAAAATCAGATATGAAATTATAGAGAATTATTCAATAACCATTCCTGTTTAAATTCTCATTCATTATTTCATCTTCCTCGTAAGATAATAATGAAAGAACAAAAATATAATTAAAATCAGTTATAAATTAATTTAAATATCAATGAATTATAATTGATATATCAGACTATCTTTAAAAAGTGTTTGACCTCTCCTGACCGACTGGCTATTAAAAATACCAAGACTCAAAACATTTTTTAACTTCAAAGAAGCTGTATTTTAATTTTTACTTTTATTCCTGATTTTCCCTCAACATGTATGTTGAATATTTCTGAGAATTTTTTTTAAGTTTCCTATCTTCAATGCGATGCGCCTCTCAGGCCTTCAGGCCTTTGATCTTATAGCTAATATGTGGTTTTCAATTGTGTGGATTTTTGAGGCATTGGTATGAATGAGCATAGATAATAATGCAGAAAAACAAAGGCTATAAATTTATTTGCTTTACTTTTTTTCATTAATATGCAAAAATAAAATAAGATGATGTTTTTTAATGAAAATGTTAATTTAATTCCACTGTATGCTTTCTCTGATAATAAAAATGAATTTTTGGAAACCAAAAGCTGGATTTTGTTGATAATATGTGAAAGACTTAACAGTTTGTGAAGAGTACTCCATTTTATATCGCGGGTAGGTAGTTACTTGTTATTTATTTTTGCTTATACTTAACACTTTGTTTGATTTCAGTATACATGTATGTACAAAATTTAAACTGATATGGTTTTCTGAGTTTTCCCAACATCAGTCAGTAACTGATCTGAACTTCTAACCTTTTGACCCTTGAAGGGAAAGTTTTCTTCTCTTACCATTATGCTTCTCTGAAGTCTAAATTAGAGATCAAGTGATACTTTTGTAATACTGTCTGCAACTTGGTTTATAACTGACACTGTGAGTTTGAACCTGTGTTCTGAATTTCTGACTGGAATCGATAAAGGCTTTGTAATGGTCCAACTATTCACCTCTCTTGTGACTACAAGACTGAAAGGTCATTAGCTTCATATCGAATTCACTCTTTCTCTAGGTGCCGAATTCACTTGTACCCGTCCACGTAGATTCTTTGAAAACAAAACCGGAATTATCCTGTAAAATCTTAACTTCCTGCAACAAAAGTTTAACATAATTTTTTACTTCAGCGGGCAAGCATGGACTTCCATGACCTAGTATGTACTTAAAAGTACTCTTTCTTTAGGACATTTAATAGAAGATGGTAAAAAATTCCAGTCCTTAATGCCATTATAATAAAAAGTATCTGCTTGTACAGCCATCAGCGGATTTTAATTATATGCATTAACTTCAGCCCTCAATTGCTTTTAAAATTTTATGCATTTTCCTTCATGCCATCAGTGGCTTTTAATTTCAACATTTACTTCTGCCCTCAGCCGCTCAATTGTTTTAGTGCATTAATCTCAGCTTTCAACGGCTCTGAATTTTATGCATTAATTTCTGCCTCAACGACAGAAAGAAATGTATAGCCCTCAGCGGCTTCGTTATAGTGGCTAGATAGGTCTTTTTGCTCTCAGATTGTCAAGTGATGGTGCTGCTTGGTATCAGCCGTTCTCAGTGGGATATTTTATAACCCAATTTTGTTTCCATTTCGTCAGGTCACCTGAGTCACACAGGTGACCTTTTGTTATCCGTTTTTGCCAGTCGTCGTCCGTTAACATTTAAACATTCTCAGCTTCTTCTCTGGAAACACCGAACCAATATCAAGCAGTTTTGGCATGTAGAATCTATATGTGAAGGGAAACAATAATTATGAAATTAATGGCCCCTGGGGTTTGAGTGATGGTCTATAACCATAAAATTAATGCAATCTTTAAAAACCTTCTTCTTTACTTCTGGACATGGAACAGTCGGCATGATTGTCATGAGCATTGAGCCCTCTAGCAAAATTGTGAAATTAATGGCTCCAGTGTCAGTGGTTCTTGTGCTAGGGTGGAGCTCTGTAGATCATATAATGAAATCGTATATTTTTTTAAAAATATTCTCCTCTGCACCTGAGTATTTAGCAAACAAACCAAGAGCAGTGATAATAGGCAAGGGTGCCTCTTCCAAAATAGTGAATTTCATGGCCCCTGGGTCAGAGGTTCTGGTGTTGGGTTGGGGCTCTATTGATTATATTGTTAAAATGCATTATTTCTTTTGAAAATCCTTTTCTCCTGGACATGTAGGAGACAAACAGACTAAAAAGTTATAATAAACAAGGGCATTTTTACCAGATTTTTGAAATTCAGTACCACTCGGTTAAGTGTTCTAGTGCTTCACAGGGCTCTATGAATTTTGCATTCTACAGAGAGAAATTATTCCCCTTTGCTATTCACTTATGGTAATTAATCACTGTAAATAATGTAATTGAAAAGTCAATTGAATAAAAGAATTATATAAGAACTTTTAAATATACAATACAAAAAGTACCTTCATAGTTTTTAATGTTAAGGTAAACTTGTAAATAATAGATAGATAAAAATGAGACAAAAAATACCTTGTCTTTGTACAATAAATGTTCTTCAAAGACCAAGAGAGGCCAATGTGAGAGGGAATGAGATGTGTTTACTAACTGTGCTTAAGCACTATCGGTTTGTCTAAATAGTGATAGTGACAAATATGGGCAAGTACAGGCAAGTAAATATATCTGCTTTAAGAGCTGTAAGTGGGGTTTTTTAATCCCTGATCATCCGATTTCTCTTGTTTTTGGACAGCATAGCTTCATCTATCAGTTTATTTTGTTTCTTTTATAATTCTATGGACTATTTACAGTGTTGCACTATACTCAGGTGATCGTTAAGGCTATTGGGACTCTAGTAATGAAAAACAGACTTTCTCTTTAATGCTTTAAATTGCTTTTATTGGTCTATAAAAATCGACATATTTAAAAACCTAGATTTTAATAATTAATGATACAATTAAAAAAATTAATGTTAATTATCAACAAGTTTCTAAGTTCAACGACATCTGCTGTCAACCTCCCAGCTGTTTACGAATGGTTTAACTTCTGTCACAATGCCTCGTGATGATGTCATCATGTCGTCGTAGACTTCATTGTTGTTGGTTCCAAAAACCCCTCCTAATTTGCCATGGTACCATCCACTAACGACAAGTTTAAGTTGATCTTTTGGAATGCTGTAGAAAGCAGTGAATCCACGGCCATGCACGCTCAAAAGTTCCTCGTCAGTCTTTACACTTAGTTCCCGGGATTGGTATGGGGCGCTGACAATTTGACCATCAACACGAAGCTACAAAATAAAGGGATCATTAGTTATATTTCAACTAAAAGCAAAACGATACAAGGAATATAAGGAATATATACTAAGTTTTTCTTTATCAATAAAAGAAAATGGAGGAAGATTATGATAGGGTAACTGAAAGATATAAAAATAGAACGCACTTTTCCAGTAGGAGCTATTTGCAGAGTCTGTGTAGCTGTTGTGATGATGAGCTGTTTCTTATTTTTGCCGAGGTAGTTCATGATGACAGAGAAATTACCATCAACGTAGTCACGTGCTAAAACATAGGAACATTTTCCAGAAAAGTCAAACTCCTCACCGTCAAAAGTCGTAAAGTGATTTCCATTAAGGGTAGCAACAGCTGGAGAAAAAAAAAACAATAAAATAAAAAAAAAAACATTTTCATTGCAAAGCAAGATAAAATCTGAAATATTAGTCCTAAACACAATTTTATTTTACAGTTATCTCTTAACCTTTGAATGGTGGAATCCAGTTGGAGACATCAGAATCGGGAATGTAGTCAGATACTGATCCCCATTTATTGGGATATTTTGGAATGTAAGAGTGAAGTCTGTTGACATATTTGGTGACAGACACTTTAGGAAGTTCCTTCAAAGATGACATAGCGACTGGCAGGTATGTGTCCATTTGTATTTCACCTGATTTAGGATCGAAAACGGTGATTCTAGAGTTTTTTAAGTTGGAAATGGAATTTTTGAGAATGGCAAATTCCTCCTCAATGTCTTTCTTAATCATATCAAACAGGTTCTTCATAACAGACTTGACATTTTCTTCTACTTCCCAGAATTTGTATGCCTTGTAAGCCTGTAAAAACAATAACAGATAAATCGCATCACATCTTTCATAAGAACTTCACAATTCAAAATAAACATCCACAATCCAGTGTTTAATTACCAGTTGGTAGCTCTGAGCGCCAGAGTCCTTAATAGTTTCGAAAACAGGACCATTCATCCTAGAAGCAATTTGGTCCCTGACACCATAGATAGCATTGGTGTACTGGCTAGCCATGTCTGGAACTCTGATATCACTAAGTCTTGTTGAATAAGCGTCGTACTTGGATTTTATATACTCAGAGACGTGGTTTCCTGAAAGTCTGGATACTGCATCTGGTATAATAAAAATGGTGGATGATGCAATAAGCAAACATGTTAAATTTATGACAAATATTAGAATCTAGCAGCTTTTATTTATCAAAAATCAAACTACCTTGGTATTTGTTCATAGCAGTCTCAATGACAGCAGACAAATCGACAAATTGTTGTCCGATGAAGTCCATTAGCTCTGCGTAATACTGAACTCCCTTCGATTCAACAAGCTAAAGATGAAATAAATGAGTATTAAAAGTAAATAATATGTTCTATAGCATCTGAGCAAAAGAACAGCAACCCACAAAAGCCCAAATGATCTTACTGTCATGAGTTCCTTGATGGCCTCTACGTAAAGATCATATTTGTCTTTACCAGGAAAATTTTGCCATTGAACAGGGTTACTTTGAATCATGCGTCTGCACACAAAAAACAAAATTGTAAAATTTTAACAAATCATGAAATCTATTCAAAACATAATCTTCTGTTATATCCCCATTGCTTGGCATACCTGATGTATGCAAGGTCAATATTTGGGTAAGTTCTCCCAATTTCTCCTATGATTCCCTGCATGAAATCACCATATGGTCGATATCCATCGCTGGCAGACTGACGTATCAAATTGTATTTAGAATTCAGCTCGTTGCCAAAGGCCTTTGCAGCTTCAGAGAAAGCAGTGTTTATTCTTCTGCTATTCAGAGCAATTTTTCCGAGTCCAGATGTCTAATAAGACATAAAAGTCCAATGCTTATAATATCATAAACAAACTTGAAGAAAGTATTTAAAATAGTCGACAAATGTAAGTAGATATATGATTTACTTTGATGTCCTGAATCATGGTAGGTCTCCAGTGAACACGGGTGTGAAGGATTCTGGAAGTATTCAGTCTCATAGCAAGAAGACTCTCAGTGATTCTACGTGAGTTTTCCTCTCGATACATCTCCGCTAGGACAGCGCTGTCGTTTACATATTTAGCAACAAAGTGTAAGACATTGGCTGGGTTTTCTGGAAAGTATGTGAAAGTATGATGAAGCTTACGTTTCAAGAAAAGTATCTACTGACAAAATGCACAAAAATTTAATCTGAATTTAAATTACCGATATCATAGTTCATTTGGGCAGCTAAAAGTCTGTTTTCCGGGTCAAACGTGATCTCAGAATGAATCTCCTTGGTATTATCGTACACACTGCGCAAACTCAACCTATAAGGCTTTGACTCGATTTTTCCAGCAATGATCATCGATTTTATTGGAGAGACAACCTGATCAGGAAAAGTTAAACTCATAATAACTAATGTAACATACACTAAAAATATAAGTACCTTTAAGCTTTTAAATCCGATCAATTCAAGCAAAAATAATATGAAATAGAAAGATACATTGTGCTTTAAAAAGTTGTACCTCTACATTCATCTGACGACGAAGGCTGTCTATTTCACCCATCAAAGCAAAGTTCTTCTTAATGCGTTTTGCTGTCATGTAGTCAACTTTGATTCCACTGGTGTACTTGTCATCTGACATTCCAACATGTGATTTAAATTGAACATCAACACTGCTGAAAATGTGTCTCAGTCCCAAGCTAAAGGTGTAGTTCTTGTTCGAACCGGTTGAAATATCCTCAATACGAGAGTTAATAACAACGGTCTTGTCTTCGTCTTTGGAGTATTTGAATTCTGTCTTACCATCGAATAAAATACTTCCTCGATTTAGGGTCATTTCAGAATCCAACTTCACATCCTTGTAAATAAGGAAAAAAAGTAAATATAATTTCGCAAAAATTTATTCAGTGGAATTTCAGTTAAAAATTCAAAAATTTATCAAAAATATGCTTAATTTTTGCAATTACCTTGCCAATGCTTGGGATTTCAAAAGACACATCAGCTTTGAAAGAGTCTCCTTGGGGAGTAACGCTAGCACTGATACCAATTTTCTTGGATGTGTCTCTGTCTGCATCCCACATGACGGATCCATCTACAGACTTTTTACCATATTTATCTTCAAAGGATCCAAAGAGGGCAACACTTCTCTCTGGAAATCTAAACTTTAGTGTGTTTCCATTGGCATAGTTGGCACGCCTTTTCACCAATGAATGCTCAGCGTCGAATCCAAATGTCTTGGTATCATCAATCAGGATATCCCAAGAAGAGAGTATTCGGTTTGATGACATTTCTCCAGATCCCTTTACTTCAACAGATCTCATAGGTGTTGAAATTTTGACTAAAACTTCCTTCTTCTGAGAGTATGGGTCTACTACATATTTTGTCTCTAATTTTGCCTGCCTTTCCGACGATGTTGTATCCAAGTTCATGGAAACCAGTGCTGATTTTATGGAATCAGAGAAAACTGTTTCTCCTTCGAATTTCATAGGCTGTGGTTCTCTCATCACGGCGGAAATAGAGTGTTTGGAATTTTTCTCATATGCAATGTCCATATCCAATAATCTTTTACCATTTATCTCAGCAAGCATAGATTGTTTGAGGGAGTCTGATGATTTCTCGTTATTTCCTTGAATAGTAAGTTTTCTTAGCTGACTGAAAGGAGTGCTGATGGTAAGTCCAGCTTTGCGTGTTGTGATTCTCCATGATTCAATGTTGGAATATGTTGCATCAGATACAATACTTTGACCATTCATCCATGAAGCTTCCAGCTTGTTTCTGAATTCGTTGCCATTTTTATTGTTCTTAATACTGAACTTGATGTTTTCAAGACCAATAATGTCACTGGCCAAGGAAAATGAACCATCGGCATCAGAAATAGAGTTGAACCTGAAGCTAGCATCAGACTTCGCATTTCCAACTGATGTTTGCAGATCAATACTGGTGGTAAAGTCAAGAGAAGTTCCTCTGTGTGAACCAGCTAGTTTTATTGATTCCAGTCCAGAAAATGGAGTTGCAAGGACGATAGCAATTGACATTGGTGTTGAGTCAAGATCAAGATTAGATTTTAGAGATATTGCACGATCTTCACTTGATAAGACCGCAACTCCGTTGTATTTACCTCCTAATATTGAAGTTTTGGCACTTGCTTGAAGATTTTCAAATCCTTTAAATGGAGATGTAAATGAAAGTTCTGCTTCCATAGGCTCAATGGATCCTTTTGCTGAAGCTCGAATGTTTTGATCATATCCGTATGTAACATCAACAAATGATCTGACGCTGTTTCTATTTGCTGTGTGTTTCACGCTCAGTTTTGTTCTTTCAAATCCACTAAAAGGTGTTTTGATTACCAAATTAGAATTGACACGACGCCAGTTCTGTCTGAAAAATGTCAATGTTCCTTCTACTTTTCCTGTCATTTCATGCTGGAAATCACCGGAGGTAGTGAATTGATCAAAGTCACCGCTGTGGGAAAATTTAGCGCTGATGTCACGAAGGTATTGCACTGGTGATTTTATTGCTAGGGAGCCTTCGATGGCGTCTGTATTTTTGAACTGCACAGATACTGTTGCTTCCTCATTTCCATATCTTGTCATGACGTCAGTCTTGAAGTTTCGAAGTGAGCCTTCATGATGTACCTTTGTCATTGTTGTGGAACTAACACCATCAATAGTGTAAGTAGTTGTAGACGTGAAGTCGATCAAAGGATCGTCATTGTATTGCAGAGAATTAGTATGAGTTAAACTGTACCGGTCTCCCATGGTAAATTCGCTTTGGGATTGAACTGAACCACTATCTGAGGACTGTGTATGCATGGCAGAAATATGGGCGTAAGGGCTCAGGATTTTCAACATGTGTTCGGATGATGAATCTCTTACAATGTTACGTAGGGAGACTGATGCCGTTTGAGAGGATCCAAAGACCAAAGTGCTGGATACGTCTAGATTCTTCAAAGGTCCATCTTTGTTGAATGAAAATGATGTAGACTCGAAACCAGAGAAAGGTGTCTTAAGAGACATTGAAGCCAATACTGCGTCTGAGGTATCCAGAGAACTATCGAATTCAAGTTTGTTTTTATTGTTTCCACCTTCGACGTGGACATGATATCCAAAGGAGGACCACGAGCTTGTAGCTTGGGCGCTAACAATTTCAAGACCACTGAAAGGTGTTTGCATCTTAAAATTCACATTCATATCTGCATTTTGAATAGATCCAGAAAGATCTGCCTCTAATCTTTGCCGACGGAATGAACCTTCCAGATGGGATGTGATGTCCCGAGATGTCATTTGGTATGTGAATTGCATATTTTGTTTCTCGTATCCTTCAAAAGGTGTTTTTACAATGAAATTGCCCGAAATTTGTGGCTGAAGTTGAATACTTAGATCGGCTTCAATTTTCTCTCTTTTAAAGTTGCCTTCTGCGCGTCCAGTTAAACCTCTGGATGATCTTTCAAACTCAAGGAGGACGTCCTGCTCTTCAAAGCCATTGAAAGGTGTTCTTAGAGATACTTTAAATCCAGTTTTACTTCCCCTGATAATATTAAGATCAAACTCTGACTTTTGCTTATTGAAGATCATCTCAGCGTGTGTCTGGCAACTCTCACTGGTAATTTCGTGAGAGAAGAAAGCTTCCTGTTGAAGATAACCATGGAATGGTGTCCTAATAGCAATTTGTCCCTCCATTCTTTTACCTCTTTTGAAAGTGATATCAATTTCAACTGTTTTCTCCATAAATGTTCCCTCAACTTGCATTTTTGAGCCCTTCTTTAAAAACTTGATATTTTGGCTCTCGTAAGAAGTGAAAGGTGTTTTAATTGAGAGACTGCCTTTGTTGGGAGAAAGTTCTCCATCGATTTCAATGGTCTTTTGTCTGAAAGTGCCTTCTGCATGGGCTTTCTGGTCATCAATGGTAAAAAGTAAATTCTGATTCTCGTAAGAACTGAAAGGCGTTTTAATTAAGAGACTACCTTTCTTGGCGGACAGATATGTATCAATTTCAATTGTCTTTTGTCTAAAGGTGCCTTCTACATGGCCTTTCTTGTCATCAGTCGTATAGCTTATTCTTTGACTTTCAAAACCTGGAAAAGACGACTCAACCGAGAATGATCCTTGATTGGACATGAGTTCACCAGTAACCTCAATTGATTTTTGTCGGAATGACAATATACCGTGTACTTTGTTACTTTCGCCTCTGAATGAGATTTTCTGTCTTTCAAAACCTGAGTAAGGAGTGATGACTTGGAGATCTCCATCAACGATTGTATCGATATTCAAATTACCAGTAACTTCGATCTTTTTCGTCTGATAAGTAGCTTCGGCCTGTGATTGATAACCCAGCAGTGTCTTCTCAAAATTGAAGGACACTCTTTGGTCTTCAAATCCTGAGAAAGGTGTTGAAACCCTAAGAGCGCCTGTGACACTTGGTCTTTTTTTGAATGTGGCCTCAAGTAAAATTTCTTCTTTCTCAATTCCTGCTTTAGCAACGGTCGAAATACCACTGTCCTTTACTTCATGGTTGAAAGAGGCTGAAATTTTTCTCATTCCCTGCACCGGAGTGTTAATCGTGGTACTTGCAGTTACAGAATTCCTGTGGTTGAAGAAAGTATCAGCTTGAATGGTTTTTCTACCTATTGTTCCTTCAATGTGATTTTTGAAGCCAGACCCAGAACTGACATGGTTAAAGGAAGATTTCATTTCTTCAAAGCCGATAAAAGGTGTTCTCAATATAATGCTACCCTGAAGTGGATTTTTAGCAAAACTAATATCAGATGAAACGCTCTGCTGACGGAATGTAGCTTTAGCAGTTGCCTTTAATCCAGAAGAGGAAATGGTATACGATACGTCAGCACTGGACTCTCTGAAGCCGTCAAAGGGAGTTTTGATGACAAGTTTACCTTCTACGAAGTCTCTACCTGATAATGACATCTGGCCCTCTATCCTTTGTCCATTATTGTAATCGATTGTAAAATCTCCGGTTAAATCATCAGCAAATGCATATTTGGCGGAAATAGATTGTTGTTCGAATCCTTGGAATGGAGATTTTAAAGAAACTTTTCCACTAACACCGTCAACAAAGGTCACATCAGTTGCTGCAGCAATGATTTTGTCCTCTGAATGCATTTTTATACTGCTTGTGATTTGGGCATCATTGTAATCATGAGTGAAAGCGGCGCCAATATTTCCACAGATGGGGCTTGAAATAGATACGGTTCCTTCTTTAATACCATCGTTGGAATAAGTGGCATCTATCTGGGAATTGTAGCCATTAGCATTAAGTTCAGCATGAGAATTCAGTGATCTTGATGACTTTACATGGTTGAATGCTCCATTCAATTTTCCAAGAACGCTTCTGATATTGAAAGATCCTGATATGGGATTGGAGCTGTAGGACATATCACCAGATATTTTTTCGTTCCCAGATACACTGACTGATCCTGAATTTTTGAAGTTGCTCAGATCCCCTTCGTGGCGGAAATTAGCTTTGATATCATTTAAAGCACTTATGGGAGTTGTGAATGATATTTGTCCGATAATAAATGACGAAGCATCGAGTGATACGTCAAATTCGATTTGTTTTCTTCCACTGTATGAAAGTTCTCCAACAGTTTTGAAGTTTGTAAAGGGACCATTATGTTTGAGTGATGCCATGATATCCTCGGAGACTGGAGTTTTCAGAGTAAAGTAACCATTGATTCCGCTGCGTCGGTCAAGCCCAACATTTCCTGTTACTTCTTTGCCATTGAAACTTGCTGAAGATCTAATGTTGAAATTTTCAGATGCACCAGCTTGTAAAATGGAAAGTTGGATGTTCTTGACAACTGGACATTTTGATGTCAGAGAAGCTTGGAAGGTAAGTGAAGGAACTGTATCAAAGGAAACTTCTCCTTGGATTTTCTTTTCTCCTCCATAGGTCAACTCAGTTCCACTGTTGAATTTCTGGCTGGATCCAGTATGAGTCAGTTTAAAGATGATATCATTAGCAGACGGTCTTTTAACAAATCCGACAATATTTACTCTCTCGTCCGTTACAACACTCATCTCAAATTCAGATTTTTTGCCTTCAAGTGAATATTCAGCATGGCTGTTGAAATTGAGTAGTCCACCACTGTGTCGGAAGAGGAAGTCACTTTCTTTATAATCAGCAAATGGTGTGCGTATGGACAGTGTCCCCTCAAGCGAATTAATGCTTGCAAATGTTAAGTCACCTTCAACAGTCTGACCGTTAGCAGATGCCTCAGCATGACATTTGAAGTTGCTCAGTCTTCCAGCATGTGAAAACGAAGCTGCTACAGTGTTGACTTTTCCCAATGTTGTTGTCAGTGAAGTTCTAGCAGATAAATCATTTGTTGAGTCAAACTCTGTACTGGATTTTATGTTTTCTTTTCCATAAGTGATTTCAGCTTCTGTGTTAAATCTCCTTAGTGTACCTGAGTGAGTTAAACTGGCTCTCAGAGGTTTTGTGTAAATGGAATTCACAAACAAGGATCCTTGAAGTGGAGAGGATTTCAGAGACAATTTTCCGTCCAAAAGACTTCTTCTTCCATATTTGATTGCAGTTGTAGTCAAAATGGGAGAACTTTCATGTGCAAAGGTGCCGTCAATTGTTTGGAAGTATGGCGACTTGGCAAGAACTCTTCCTTCTAATTTAACGAGGGAACTGAAGTCTACATCAATTTCAGATTTGTCACTGTTAAGTTCAAATTCGGCATGGCTGCGGAAATTGTTGTATGTTCCGTCATGTGTAATACTGGCCTTTAAAAGATGCACTGACTTGAATGGACTTGTAAATTTCAGATTACCCTTTATTTGATCAAGAAGACTTAATCCAATTTCTCCAATCAATTTCCTGTTGGTTCCATCAGAGCCCTGTGCATGAATTTGGAAGTTTTTCCAGCTCCCTTTATGGGTAAATGTTCCTTGAATCATTTCATAATCTTTAAAGGGTGTTTGGAGTGAGACTTGTACTGAAATATCTGATTGAGTATCCATTTGTAGACTAGACATAAAGCGTTTCTTATTCGGTAATAAGATGTTGACTTGGTTGTTGAAGTTTCTCAAAGATCCATCATGTGTCATAGAAACTTCGCTTTTTTCAAAGTTCCTGAATGGAGTTTGAAGTACAATTGAGGTAGCGATCTTCGGATCTATAGCAAACATAATATCCGCATTGTATAGCTTGTTACTTCCCAGTGTAACCTCTGCATGGGACTGGAAATTCTTTAGGGAACCTTGATGAGAGAGGATGACGCCAGCTTTTTTGTATCCTTTAAATGGTGTTACCACAGAAAGGTCGGCCTTGAAGTTTGGCTGGAAAGACACCTTGATATCTGCAGCAATGGACTCTTTTCCTATTGAACCCCGAGCAGTGGTTTTGAAACTCTTCATGTTTCCACTAAAGTTCCAGATTCCCTTCACTTTCTTGTATCCTGGTATAGGAGTTACAATGTTCACAATAACGGCAGATGTTGATTCTCGTTTCAGGGTGATATCAGCCGTATATTTTTCTTCATTTCCGATGAGTGCATTTATTATAATTCTCATGTTTGCTGGTTTTCCTTTCCTGGTCAAAGTAAGCTTGATGGGATCGGTAAAAGGGTTCTCAATTTGGATTGTTGCTTTTGCTCTCTTTTTGATTAATACGTTAGTGTTGAATTTGAATTGTGTTTTCTCGTCCATCTTTAGGCTCCCTGATGTTTGAAATCTGGAAAGATCACCAGAGTGTTTGAATGTTGCTGAAATATCCCTGTGGAATGGTGTTTTCAATGTCGCTGATCCACTTAATCTCTTTCCGGTTGAAAACGCAACAGATCCTTCTATTAAAGCCTTTCCTCCTTTTGTCAAAGAAGAACTGGTTTCGAAATTGCTCAGAGTGCCTTCATGGGAAAATTCAGCTTTCATGTTGTCAACAAAGGTAGATTTGAGTTCCAATGACCCAAGGAGCTTCTTTGCATTTCTAAACTCTGACATGACTGAACACTTCTGTTTCCCATATTTACCATCGACAGTAATTTTTAAGTCCCTTATGTGGCCTTCCTGTGAAAAGGATATTGCGAAATCTTCCGTGACTGGGGAGGAGAATGAAACTGATCCTGTTGATGTTTTAGTGAGTGAAAGCTTCATGTTAGCTTCATACTTCTTTGATTTGTCATACTGGAATTCAGCCTGCGATACAAAATCATTTAGTTCTCCTTTATGGCTAAATGAAGCACTCATATCTTTAAAGAGAGGAGATTTGAAGCTTACAGTTCCAGATAGTTGACGGTATTTGGCATCCAATTCGTATTTTTTCCCTCTGCCATACAAAGCATCAATGTGTGTATCAAAGTCGGATAGGCTTCCCTTATGGTTAAAAGAAGCAGACATGTCTTCATGGAGAGGAGATTTAATGATAATATTTCCAGTTGAATCGGCATAGTTTGCAGTAATTTCATATTTCTTGGATTTTCCATATTGCATTTCAGCGTGGGAAGAGAATTGAGATAGAGGCCCCTCGTGGTTAAATGCAGCAATGAAATCATTTGCAAAAGGAGACCTAACCACTAAGGTCCCCTCGACTTTTCTTGCATTTGAAAAGGTCATATCTCCTTGGATCTTTTTACCTCGGGTGTATTCAATCTCTCCATGGCATTGGAATTGACGACTATCACCGCTATGGCGAATAGATGCTGCTGAATATGGAAGTTCTTGGAATGGTGTTGTTAGAGTAATGCTACCCTCTAAGTTTTCAAGACTTGGTCGCAAAGAAGACTCCAACTTTATTGTCTTGCCTGGTAAATATTCAACACTCAATTCTGTTACTTTTTTCTCTGTATGATCATTGTGTGTGAATGAGATACGGCTTTGTTTGTATTGTTCAAATGGAGTGTTCACCTGAATGCTAGCAATTATTCCACCATATGAACTCCACTGGGATGTAACAGACATTTGTTCAAAGAGTGGATTGATCATCAAGTTAGCGCTTGTATGGAAGGATTTGTAGTTGCCTGAAAATTCAGCACCAATGGTCATTCTGCGAAGATTTTCATATGGGGTGTTCAAAATAGTGTTCAGGCTCTTCTTATCTCCCCATTGTCCACGGTTTTCCATCGTGATTGTGTCTCCAGTAGGAAGGGCGATAGATGATCTGGTAACAGTTTCACCTCGCTCGTTCGATTGATCCATTGTAATCTTCAATGTTTTCAATTTATCAACCTGACTCATCTTTGCTTCAAGTTTTGCACTCATTAGTCCAACAGGGGAGATATTAAATGTACCATCAATCATAGCCTCTGATTTCTTATTGGATAGATACTCAATTCTACCAGAGAGAGGATAACCTTGATATTGAGAGGATACAGTCAGGGTCTTTGTAATTCCATGACATGAACAAGTATGTCTTGAAGAGGCAACTCCGCTGTTTCGTTTATAGATATTGATCAAGGAGAGGACTTTCTTTCCTTTGGCAATGTAATGAATCTGGTTATCGATCATTCCAACCCCATGTTCATGCGAAATCTCCAAGGCAATATCTTCAGCGATGTCAAATGAGGAGCGGAATTCGGAGTTGACAGTTAATGTACCGCGAGGAATTGACATACTCTGCTTTGCATTCAAGCTAAAGTCAATGTTGCTAGCACCGGATGCAAACTTAAAGTTTGATTGAATGTCCTCAAGTGTATTTCTGTGTGACCAGGAGGATTCTACTTTTCTGGATGGACTCCTCACCTTGATGTTCCCGCTGTTCTGCAAATGCAACCCATTTCGGTAATGAGTAATTTCCCCTTCGTAGCCGTATGCTTTTCCATTGTACTCGAAGTTAATGCTGTTTTCAAACCTCTGTCCGTTGTCCACATGTTTCACAGCGGCATAAAGAGATGTAATATCTTTAAGAGTGGATTTCACACTCAACCTTCCGGTGAGATCTCTAGAGGATACTAAGCTTTTGTCTGCAGCAAGGATATCTGCTTGAAGAAAATCTTTGTTCCAGGAGAACTTGATCATACTTTCTACTCTGTCAGACTTTTTGTGTTTAAGTTCAATCCCTGATCTTTCAAATCCTGGAATAGGTGTCTTTACATCAAGAGTAGCTTCCATATCGTCCCACCGTAATGGTTGCTTTAATGACAGGGTAGAAGACATGCGCTTCATTGATTTCCAGTCGATGTCAATGTTTGATGAAGACTTTGTTTTATCATTTTGGTGGCTGAAATCAATGTTGATGGATCTGTAGTTTTTAAATGGCGACTCAATTTTTAGTCCTGCCTTGTAACCATTCTTTTCCTCACCAAAGGTAGAATCCATGGAAACCATTTCTTTATTCCACTTAACATGGGCGTGAGTTATGTACTTGTCACCGCTCCGGTGTTTCAGGTTGAGACTGCCGGATCCAAGAGGGCTTAGTTTGGACAGAGTAGCTTCAACATTCTGATTTCCTTTGGTAACTTCTCCCAGCAGCACCAGTTGTTTTGAGGGGTCTTTGTTCGCATCCCATTTGACATCAAGTTTACTTGAGCATACAGGGCTTTTAATTCTAGTGTCAAACTCAGCCATGATTTTGCGAGAGGGGTATTCTAATTCACCTGCAAACTGAAAACGTGATCCAGATCGGACTAAAGATGACAAGGACATAGCATACTTGGTCTTACCATATTGGATTTCAGAATTAGCCTGTAGATTTGAAGAAATAAGTCTGTATTGTCCCGAGACTGTTAGCAGTTCAAATGTTGGAACATTGAAAGAAGTTGTGATATCGTACTCGTTTGTAGCAACATTGCGCAGCGTTGTTTGGATAATACTTTTCTTCCCACTCTCAAGCTGAACTGTCAGGACGTTGCTGTATTTTTTGGCATTGTTTTGATCAAATACATTGCTAATGATGATATCTCTGCCTGGGATAGAAATACCAACTTTACCAACCATACTTGTAAATTTCCTGGATTTGTCTTTCAACTCCAGTATGCCACTGTAGGAGGATTTCTTTCCAATGAGGACATCCAAAGATGAATCTATGGATTTGGAGGACTGCGTGTGCTTTCCTTTCATTTGGTAGTTCACACCCTAAGCATGTATAAAATTGGATTGATTTCTACAGAATAATGAGAAAGTATCAAAAATGAACTAAACATATACAAAATGTAGCAATATACTTACAAAATATGGGAAGATGAATTTGGTACTAGCATCAATATTGATTTTCTTCTGTTTCCAGTTAATAAGATGATTCATTTTACCGTCCATTTCGATGCGATTTTTGGGATCCCCTTTGTTTGGTCCATAGATAGCAATCACATTAGCTTCTGAATGCTTCCAGTTCTTGCTGATGTCGAACTTGACGTTGAGATTGTAATCAGATTGTTGTTTAAAATTTAAGGCCCTGCAAAAATATAGTTCCCTTATTGGTTTTCAATTTAAAATAATGGATTGATAGTCTAAGATACATACATCAGTCATTTGTCTTACATGTTTCCTTTGGCAGCTGCAAGGCTCTTTGTGTTGCGGACATTCAGTTTTCCATTCAGGGTTACCTTGTCTCTGCTGACCCGAGGAATAACGTAGTCAAGTGTGGAGCGAACGATGCCTATCTGCTGATTTTTAAGCATGAACATGGAAGTCCATTTTGTGGTGAAGACTGGTGACTTAATGTCTATTCTGGATCTGATACCTTTACTTTTCTTGTTGCTACCATCTCTTATTTGGACTATAAAAAAGATACAAAATTATTTTGTGGATGAAACACAAGAGTTAAAATTTATTATTGATTAAGTAATAACATAATTCTAAACTTACTAAAGAGTTTCATTGGCTTTGAAACGATGCGATCAACGGTTAAATCCACTTTCAGTGCTTTTCCAGTCTTGTACTCCGCTGAGCCCCCGAAACTAATGAGTTCCTTCTCTGGTGATTTGATTGACAGGTATGGCCTGTACCTGATAGCTTTGTTGGTTGCTGACTTCTGAACTCTGGATTCAATAGCGTATTCTTTCTTCTTCTCAAAGCTGATACTCGCTTTGGCAAATACCACTATTTTTTTCTGGGAGTAGTTAACTAAACAAAAAAAATACGTACATACACACATTTATACAATACATTTAACACATCAATTTTTTGAAAATTCTTGCTGATATATATTAGAAGTATGTCAAATAGTTACCTTCCGCTTTGATTGGTTCTTTTGATACCCCACTTAATATCAAATTAGCATCCAAAAGCTTCATCCCTTCATATTTGATTCCACCTTTAAGTTGGATGGGCTTCATTTTGGGAGCGGATATTTCGATACTGGGTTTGTATTCATAACTGTTACCCTTCCTTGATTTTACCACTTCTGCAACAACAGAGTATTCCCTTTTCTCGTAGACGAATTTTCCACTGATGTGTTTTAGTTTTTGCTCATCCTGGACTTTACCTATGCCAAAGAGAAACAAACATTTAACAAGATCAAACAGATATATGTCAATTAAGAATTATTCGTTCATTGTGTTAAACGTATTTATTCCTGCAGCATACCTGTAAAAACAGCTTTAGTCCATGGAGACTGTAAACCAAACTCAACCTTGGAAATTTTCTTGTCAAGTAAGAATTCTGCAGAAAGAGTTCTGTCAACTCGTGATCCTGGCGTGTCAAAAGCCACACGGATATTAATATCCTTCTTGGTCTAATAAAGAATACAAAAACAAAAATCATGCGGGTTCTCACTTGGAAATGATTTTCTTTGTGCGCCATATATATTACTACATATAATAACTATCAATACTTTACCTTTGTAAATCTGGCTTCTACATTGTATGATTTGTGTAAATCCTCTTTCACTAGAGAGAGATCCATGTTCATTGGTCCAGTTAGAGGAAAGTATGGAGCGTTCGCCTCCAGAGATGCATTTGGAAATTGGATTTCTCCACACAATTTCAATCCAGTGATTTTGGCAAGTTTGAATCCTGTGCATGTTTTGTGTGTCTGTCTATTTTTTGTGATCATTTTCTGCTCCTTTTCTATGTCGCGGTGAAGAGTGAAAAAAGCGGTTCTGCAAAGAAAAGAATAACAACATAGCTAAGATAGAGTTTAGTCGTGTAGACATAATCTTTGAATTGAAAAGGGGGACAAAATCAATCATTGTATAACGTTTTACAGGTGTCTTACTTCAGACTGAAAATTTCCATTTTGTCCTTAGGTACGTCTAGGTTTGCATTAAAGATCTTTCCGTCTTGTAGCTCTACATGACCCTTCAGCAATGTGCTGGAATGAAGTGTTGATACCATCTTCAATCCGCTCTTTGTCACAAAAGCATCAACACTCATCATGCTTGAGATTTCGACTGCAGCACTACAGAGAAATTGAAACTTTGATAGAGATGCCCTTACTTGAAAAAAAAATGCTGACAAGAAAGTTAAATAGGATCATTTTTCAAAATGGCTTCACTTTTTTACCTTGGTTGGATGCGTCCGCTAATGAGAAGACTCATGGGACTTGTACCCATTTTACGGAGGTCCGCTTTTCCAGAGGCTTTCATGTCTATTGTGGCAGTTCCGTTGATTGTCAGATTAAGTGGGAATCCAGCACTTGTTGGAATGATCATTGAAGTGTCCAAAAACATGATGTTCTGTGTGAATGTGTAGTCGTGATTTTTAGACATGCTGATCAGCATCTCAAGAATATTGAAACGATTACCACTCAAAAGGTTGTCAAGACCATTGAAACTATTATAGGAGAGTTCGTTTCCAAACACTCGAAGGTAGAGAGCTCCTTTGAGTTGATCCATTCCAACACCAAACTACAAATATTTTCAAACATGATACAAAGTTTTTCAAATAACATGTGAAAAATTTAAGGCGTCATATTCGGTTGCAGGAGGTAAATAATTAGGAAGGAAATTCTCTCCATACCTGACTGTCAATTTTATTCATTTTCTTGGAATCAACTCCTTTTATAACCTGTGTAGTTGCTTTCTTGACATCCTTTTCAGTGAAGTAGCCATTGGGTCCAAAGTAGGACTCAAGGAAGTATTCCAAACCTTCAACTCTTCCTCCGATTTCAAAAAGATTGACTGACTTTCCGAACAAGTCTACAGTCAGGTTGGCCATCAATGATCGTGGAATGAAGGATTTGGATGACCAGACCAAATTGCTTTCAACAGAAGCCCCAGTGTTGATTTTCTCCAGGAAGAAGGATCCTTCATAATTTCTAGAAAACTTTCTTTTGTCCATGTCGAATTCTTTTTTCAGGTATTCACTCTCCAGAATAGATCTTATATCCTGCTTCAAGGGACTGGAGGATTCCATAAGGTTTGTTAGGTGAGACCAGATAAAAGAGCCTACTTGGTTGACTTCTTCTTTCTCCAGAGCATATCGAACAGTCGAGAGAATGCTTGTGGATGGACATTGCATGAGGGCCAAGTAGGCAGCAATTCGCAGCTCAGAGTCTTCCTCTTTGTCGTTGAATACCTTTAATGCTTCCGTTCTCTGCATTAAAAAACAATGTTTAATAACTAATGGAATCCGCTTTCAGCTACATGTATAAGATTTATTGAAGTATTATCTTTTAATACATTCTATTTAAAGGTATAATGAAATATTTTGCAGAAGCCTTTTCATTGTAAAATATAATGAACAAGGACTACAGAACATACAGCATTGTCACAGGAAGCACGACGGAAGGCCTCAATTGCGGCAATTCGTACTTCTATTGGATTGTCTTTTCGAGAAATACAGCTGTTAACTGTAGCAGTTGCTGAACTGATGTGCCCGGAATTTCCAAGAGCACGAAGAGTCAAGACGATCTGAAAGTTTTAAAGTGTAAAAGGAAAATAATAATTTAATATGTATTATAAAACCGATGATTTTTACATATATATATAAATAATTCATGACCAAAACAATTTTATTTACATTATCTTTGTTGTTTTCATCAACATAGCATCCATATCCAATTTTATCCTCAAGTGCAGAAATGACGTTAGCGATGTCCATGTCGTTCTCGCATTCAGAGGTCTTACAGTAGGTGTTAACTAATGAGCTTACGGCCAACAGGGCTTTACCATTCTTCTTTAGAAGAGGCTATATGAGAAAAATAAATTCAATTATTTCTAGAATCAGTGGGATTATCTTTTTTGGATATATCAGTTTTCTAAATTATTTCATACATGAACTTCTCTGATCATGTCCTTTGAGGGGCTTGGAATGAAGGCTAAAGTTGTCAACCACATGTCAGCTTCGATTCCAGTTACCTCATCGTCATTGATCATTTTAGACAGCATGGCAACGGAGGCTGAGGTTCCAACCATTGGATTAGCATCCATGAAGAATTTTCTATTATAAATCGTAAGCATTTAATTTGGATCCAGATGAGGCAAATACATCATTTTAATATACCATCAGAAGTGGTATTCATGTAGAAATATACAAACCTGACTTTTTGGTTGTTGTTGCTACAAAGAGAACCACTCTGTACATTGGAATAAACATCCTTCAGTGTCTGAGAATCAGCTGCTCGCATGGTGTAAACAAGGTCAGAGAAAAGACGAGGTGTCTCAGGACGAACATCCTCTGTTGTTTGAGCGCAAATGTTGACTAGTTGTCTCTCAATATCCTTACGTGTTTTCGTTTTACTTCCAACATCATAATGATGTTCAAAGTTCATGTCAGTCTTTCGACTTACAGATTCTTGAAAATAAGAATAATTCATTCAAATTCGACGTCTTTAACTTGAAGGATTTTAATATAACAAAAAAGCATGATATGGAAACATACGTGCTGCTGACACTCCGCTCTTCTCAGATACGTATTTCAGTGTCTGCTTGCTTTCTGTCATGGCACCCTTATCGTTACGTGAGAAAGGCCTGAAAACGTGTTGTTCAGTACAAGATGATCCCTTCAGGACTCCAGATTTGCTGATTTCCTGCTGGCAAGAGTGACTACTCTTCATGACAGGCATGGATTGGATTTCCTATCGAAATGAATGGAGCTATGTGAATCATGTTTCATAGATATCTTCATGATAAAAAATAGCATATCTTACTGAAGACCTAGAATTTTACCGATGGCACTCTGTAGGGTGTTCCTTGTAGTGTTGTCTGGTATCCATGGCGTTCTGTGCACCCCAAGAGGTTCTTGTGCTTCTTGATTGTTACTGTGTACCACCCATTTTCGGACACCGTGTAATCGGCATCACATGTTCCTGTCACGTCCGCCTAGATTCAATGAAAGAAGTTTAAGGTTTAAGAGATACACAGAACAAAAATGTAATCTCTTTGTTTATCAATATGAATGTGAGTGAGAGGTAAGGGAACATCTATTATTCATCATACAGACCTCTCTGACTTTCTGGTCGACCTGCAAATCTTCCATTGTGTTTTGAATCATTGACAGGATACCTCGCTTGATGTTGAGAACCCAGGTCTTTTCCCTTTCAGCAGGACACAGAGACTCTATGCGGCCATCTTGGAAAGAGAATCTCAATGAGTTTTCCTCCAGGTGTCTGCTGAATTCTCCGGACATTGTTGAGAGAATTAGGTTTTCTGGGGACTCGGGGTTTCGTTCGTGGAGCTGTACATTTTTGACCTTCAGTACAAGGTCACATTTTGACAACACTTCCACTTGAACTTTCGCTGTCATTTTCATACCGGATATTCCTTCAAATGCCCCCTGAATGAGAGTTGCTGTGTCCACATCGTAATCGTACTCGTAGGTAGTTCCAGGTTGATATCCGAATTTGGTTGAGTCTAAATATTAATAATATCATTACTGGACTTGAATAATATTATTACTGGATATGAATATGGATATGAATAATTCTATTATCGTAAAACGAACACTTTAAAAAGACATCGAAAATCGTTTATAGAAAATATAGTGGTAATTGATTAAGAACAAATTATAATCACCAGTGCATGTCGTTGAGCATGTATCGCGTGAAGATATATCGATTATTGGCCCTGAAAAATAAAAATCGTAAAATATCAAATTAGAACTTACATGTATATGCTATGTACTTTGGAAGAGGAGCAAACGATAGTGCAACTTGAACAATTTTTTTTGTTCATTGACAAGTTTGTTTGTGGGTCTTTTTAAGGGGGGTGGTGGGGGGGGGGGGGGGGGTATTGTAGTGTTTTTTTTTGTTTGTTTGGTTAGGTTTTTTCAAAATATTTTTTATATATATTATATATACTTAATATATATATCATATGTATTATTATATATAACATATATATGTTATATTATATTTACTTATTTTAATCATCATTACAATAAAGTGTGTTTGTCATAATAGGGAATATGGCGTTTGCCAGCATTGAAGAACAATTTAAATGGCGGCTGTAAGCATTGACAAGGAATAAACTTTCAACGAAAACCGATGAAGGGCTTCAAAATAACGACAACCGTCATTTCTGTTATGAGACAAGAAAAACAAAAACACACTTTATTTTTAATATACTTGAGGAATGAATTTAATATATAGCTGGCCAATTTATACGGAATAAACTGGGATGGGGCAGTTTACGATTAATAAACCGCGTAGCAGTTTATATATATATATATATATATATATATATATATATATATATATATATATATATATATATATATATATATATATATATATATATATATATATATATATATATATATATATATTAAAGGCGTAAACTGTTCTTACCCAATTTATACTGTATAAATTGGGTAGCTATTAAATTCATTCCTTATAATTTGATTTTCATTCATTTAGCGTAAAGAAAAAGATAATTGCCCTTAAAAATACGACTTCATATTGTACAAAATTTTAATGTAACGTTATGCGTTTTTTGGCGCAAGTATTTATGACGTAGGCAACCCAATTTATGCGATATAAAGTAAATTTTTTATCCAATCGAACACTGCTTTATAACCAGAATTATATTGAATTCACTGTCTTTTACTCAGTGAAATACATTTTTTTATTTCAAGTTATAAGAATTTACAACCAAATGATGTAAGTTTAATTAACAATTATTTTGAACAGCGATACAGCAGTCATATGATTTCTCAAATTAGCACAAAGAAAATAGTTCCTAGTGTAAATTGTGCCATTTCAAATAAGAATAAAATGAAAATTTTATGATATTCAACATTTTCTAAACAAAATATCAGAAAAGCAGTATAATGAACAAGTTTAAAGTAACTTTCAATCATCATTCTTGAAGCGCTGATATTAAAATTCTGCGCGTTGTGCAGCCCATTGTATTCTAATTTAAAGAAAACATGTCAGTCGGTGTGCCACAGTGGTATACATTAAACATTTGATAAATGTTAACATGAAAGTACCAGTACTGATTTAAATTGTACTACAGAATATTTTAAAACTATTCTTAAAAAAATATAGTTTTAACCAAACATTGTATTTCCATATTACTTCTATATTTCTATATATTATATAATTCTATTTTTCTACATTAATTAAAAAAGAATGCCAAATTAATTTTGATATGATACAAGTTACATGAAAATGTGAAAGAAATGTACGTTTACAGTAGTATATTAAATAAATCAATTAGGCATATATTTTTTTTTTTGCCATCATAAATCAAAGCTTCAAGGCTTTTATCATGGTAATTTCGATTTCAAATCGTCATATTTCATTCAATCTTATTCTCAATTTTGATTTAATTTTATATTATAAATAGGAATTAATCCGTCTTAATAGTCAAATGTTATTTCCTAGGATATCAACTATTATTTGTTATTGGAGAGAACTTTATCACTGTTCGTTATCCTTTCAAAATGATGTTGATTATTAAAGTTTCATAGTAAGTCGAAGTTTTCAAGAATAATTCATAGTTACTCTAGTAAGCTAAAGTAAATTTTATAAATATCTATGTTTCTATATTTAAATTCAAAAGTACTTTAATTATAAACTGAAATATTTTATCATGAATTCTATCATAGTTTTATTAAAATTCCTTGCAAATTTCCTACAATTAATATTATCTTTTAATAACACGAGCTATTGTCATTCACTTATAATATATCAATAATTGATCACTTTCGATGTCAATTTTGAAAATAATTATGCAAATCGTAATCTATCTGATTTACAAATTGGCTTAAAAGAAGAAAAGAAATTAGAATTAAGTCTATATGTCAAAAAGTATCAGTTTTCTTTTCATATAAATAAACTGCATGACTGTATGAATAAGCCTGTTTAATTCATATTTATAATATTTAATAAATATTTAATAAAACATAAGTTATTTTCTCTTACAGGTTATGAAATTATATTAGAATTTATAGTGAATACAGAATAAGAATTGAGTCTTACCCGCCCAGATTCCAGCCGTTAAGGCTAGGAGTAGTATTGTACGCTCCATTGTGGGAGCTCGGCGGTTGCTTCTATGTGTCTCAGTGTTCGGGGAGGATGTCTCTAATTTATAGTAATCCACTGAGAGTAAAGTACAGTGATAAATGATTTAATGATTTTAATCTCTAATTACGTACTTTGATGTTTTAACACTCTGTGATGCAACTGTTATCAGGAGTGCACACTAATCATATGATGCAGTTTCTGGATTAAGCGGTCATCTGCGATTACAAAGTTTATTTTCATTTTACTTAATAATATGTGCATAATGTCAGCTCTATTTGTGGTGAAATCTAGAGTAATATTTTTTTTATTTGATGTGGCTAAAACTATTGCAAAAAATACATTTTTTGTATTGATATAATGGGTATATGTTTATATAATGGGTATATGTGTATATGTATATGTTTGTATATATATTTTTTTATATAATCTTTATTTAAAATTATTTAACAATTCGCGAGAAATGGTCAAATCTAAATCCTTTGTCCATTTAATCAATTAATTGCTTTATTTTATATACAGTTTGTGACGAAATCCGTTTTCTTTCGAACATTGGTCATAAAGTTTCGAGAGAATTTACCTTCTTTTTTTTTTTTTACATTTTATTGGCCTTGGATCAATTTTAGTTGGGTGCGATTTTTAAAACAAAATGATATTTTTATATCATATTGTATTTCATTTTTATTTGTTGTTGTCGTTGCTAACTAAGGAAGATAAATGAGCAGCTATTATGAAGTCTTTAAGCTATGAATTTTATCTTTCAAACAAATATAATTGCAAGACTTTTTTCGTGATTTCAACATTGACAGTAAGTTTTGAGTACAGATCTGAATGTGCAACTTTCAAGGCAGATGGTGGTGTTGCAACGAGGGAACTATTCTTGAAAGGACATCAAAAGAAATAACCGCTGTATCTTTTTAAAGCATTAAAAAATTCCTTTTTTCCAAACATAAAGAAAAAAAGTCCTCAAAACTGGAGAGACATATATAACAGAAAATATGAAATGAGGGACAATATTGTCGATTTATCCTAAACTTAATTGTCCAACCATTCAAGACAACTAACCAGTAACGATAATTATGATTCTTGTATGCACAAGAAATGAAATATGAATTGTAATAAAAATGCATTTGTTATGATGACGGGATGGATAGAATTTTTTTCTAATTTTGCATTCAGCGTCGTGAAATTGAAATATATGGTTAGATAATTTAGTTTCATTTTGTTTAACTTTTTATGCTGTGACACTTAGAGATCACTTTCCCCTGCATCTGTCTGTCTTTGGAAACTGTAAGAATGAAAAAGGTGAAGATAACGAACAGTGATCGATCTAAAAAAAAAACTACAAACAATACAAATCTGTGAACATTACATAAAACACGGACCCGTAGAAATTCCAGAGGTGGGATCAGGTGCCTAGAAGGAGTTAGCATCCCCTATTGACCGGTCACACCCGACGTGAACCTTATGTATTGATAAGGTAGACGGAATAATCCGTAGTCAAATTTAGTTCAAAAATCTATGGGCTAACAATTGGTATGAAATATTTCAGTCAAAGTACGACCAAATGATAACTTGTATTTATAAACAATTTCATTATGTGGCCATAGAATTTAAAAATGCCGAATTTAAACAAGGTTGTTGAAATCCCTGTAACATTAACTAATTTGTTAGTAGCCTCTTTGAAAAAACTTATCGTACTCAGAGCATATACTTGAGTATTGATTAAGTCGGGAGACGTAAACCCATATGCAGGTGATAGTAGAATATTACTATATAAAAAAGGATCCGAAATATGGCTGAAATATTGCCGACTCGGCGTTAAACAATAATAATCAGTCACATAAAAAAGGAAAGTTGTCGATTGAAAAGCTGAAGTAATCTCGTTTGCCATACAGTTTAGTTGTTCGTTGATAGTAGTTAGAAGTAAGGATATTTTGCTTGGATAATTTTTCTGGGCACAATGGCTTCTGTAAAAAAAAAAAGAAAAAAAAAAAGGCTTACTGTCCTCCTTGTGGCTGTGAACTTGACCTTTGTCCTGCTTTTCAAAAATAGTTCATTGTGCCGATATATATATTACAAATGTACATTCTTTGAACTGTGAGACGATAGTATTTTGCAGTATATATGACTTTAACCTTTGATTTACTAAACCATAGATTTCAAATTTCTTGAATTTTGAGAGGTAGGGCTTTGATAATAAGCGTGTATATTACATACATATTAGTGTTCATTGCCTCATGACCTTATACTTTCTGTGTGGTATACATTTACCACCCAAACTATAATTGTTATAATAATTTGAACTACGAATTACTCATTACTTATCTGAGGACTCAAGTCGTGTGTGTCCGCTCAACAGAGGAGGCGTATTATTCCAAGCACCTGGTCCATCCTCTGGTCTTTCCAGGGATATATGATTTTGTCCTCTTTACGATTTGTACTGTATACAAAAGAACGAGGACACATTGGATTGGCATTCGGCAGGAATTTGGGCGCACTTGAATAGTGAAAATTTCATAGATAGTCACATGAAATTCTAGCATTTTTTTTATGTGTCGGATTCCTGTGAAATCGAAGGAAAATATTTTCCCGATATTGTGTT